GACCCAAAGACACCCCCAGATTGAAAGTGAGGGGGTGGAAAACCATTTACCATGCTAATGGACACCAAAAGAAAGCTGGGGTGGCAATTCTTATATCAGACAAATTAGATTTTAAAACAAAGACTGTAATAAGAGATGAAGAAGGACACTATATCTTACTTAAAGGGTCTATCCAACAAGAAGATCTAACAATTGTAATATCTATTCCCCTAACATGGGAGCAGCCACTTTTATAAGGCAATTAATAACAAAAGCAAAGAAACACATTGACAACAATACAATAATAGTGCGGGACTTTAACACCCCCTGACTGAAATGGACAGATCATCTAAGCAAAAGATCAACAAGGAAATAAAGACTTTAAATGAAACACTGAACCAAATGGATTTCACAGACATATTCAGAACATTCCATCCCAAAGCAACGGAATACACATTCTTCTCCAGTGCCCATGGAACATTCTCCAGAATTGATCACATCCTAGGTCACAAATCAGGTCTCAACCGATACCAAAAGATTGGGATTATTCCTTGCATATTTTCGGACCACAGTGCTTTGAAACTAGAACTCAATCACAAGAGGAAAGTCGGAAAGAACTCAAATACATGGAGGCTAAAGAGCATCCTACTGAAGAATGAATGGGTCAACCAGGAAATTAAAGAAGAATTTAAAAAATTCATGGAAACCAATGAAAATGAAAACACAACTGTTCAAAATCTTTGGGATACAGCAAAGGCAGTCCTGAGAGGAAAGTATATAGCAATACAAGCCTTTCTCAAGAAACAAGAAAGGTCTCAAATACACAACCTAACCCTACACCTAAAGGAGCTGGAGAAAGAACAGCAAAGAAAGCCTAAACCCAGCAGGAGAAGAGAAATAATAAAGATCAGAGCAGAAATCAATGAAACTAGAAACCAAAAGAACAGTAGAACAGATCAACAAAACTAGGAGCTGGTTCTTTGAAAGAATTAACAAGATTGATAAACCACTGGCCAGACTTATCAAAAGGAAAAGAGAAATGACCCAAATCAACAAAATCATGAATGAAAGAGGAGAGATCACAACCAACACCAAAGAAATACAAACAATTATAAGAACATATTATGAGCAACTCTATGCCAGCAAATTAGATAACCTGGAAGAAATGGGTGCATTCCTAGAGATGTATCAACTACCAAAACTGAACCAGGAAGAAATAGAAAACCTGAACAGACCTATAACCACTAAGGAAATTGAAGCAGTCATCAAAAATCTCCCAAGAAACAAAAGCCCAGGGCCAGATGGCTTCCGAGGGGAATTCTATCAAACATTTAAAGAAGAATTAATACCTATTCTCCTGAAACTGTTCCAAAAAATAGAAATGGAAGGAAAACTTCCAAATTCATTTTATGAGGCCACCATTACCTTGATCCCAAAACCAGAGAAAGACCCCATCAAAAAGGAGAATTACAGACCAATATCCTTGATGAACATGGATGCAAAAATTCTCACCAAAATACTAGCCAATAGGATCCAACAGTACATTAAAAGGATTATTCACCATGATCAAGTGGGATTTATCCCTGGGCTGCAAGGTTGGTTCAACATCTGCAAATCAATCAACGTGATACAATACATTAACAAAAGAAAGAACAAGAGTCATATGATCCTCTCAATAGATACAGAAAAAGCATTTGACAAAGTACAACATCCTTTCTTGATCAAAACTCTTCAGAGTATAGGGATAGAGGGTACATACCTCAATATCAAAAAAGCCATCTATGAAAAACCTACAGCAAATATCATTCTCAATGGGGAAAGGCTGAGAGCTTTTCCCCTAAGGTCAGGAACGCGGCAGGGATGTCCACTATCACCACTGCTATTCAACATAGTATTAGAAGTCCTAGCCACAGCAATCCGACAACAAAAAGAAATCAAAGGCATCCAAAATCGGCAAAGAAGAAGTCAAACTCTCACTCTGCAGATGATATGATACTGTATGTGGAAAACCCAAAAGACTCCACCCCAAAACTGCTAGAACTCATACAGGAATTCAGTAAAGTAGCAGGATATAAAATCAATGCACAGAAATCAGTGGTATTCCTATACACCAATAACAAGACAGAGAGACAAATCAAGGAGTCGATTCCATTTACAATTGCACTCAAAACCATAAGATACCTAGGAATAAATTTAACCAAAGAGGCAAAGGATCTGTACTCAGAAAACTATAAAATACTCATGAAAGAAATTGAAGAAGACACAAAGAAATGGAAAAACGTTCCATGCTCATGGATTGGAAGAACAAACATTGTGAAGATGTCAATGCTACCTAGAGCAATCTACACATTCAGTGCAATCCCCATCAACATACCATCCACTTTTTTCAAAGAAATGAAACAAATAATCCTAAAATTTGTATGGAACCAGAAGAGACCCTGAATAACCAGAGGAATATTGAAAAAGCAAAGCAAAGCTGGCGGCATCACAATTCCAGACTTCCAGCTGTATTACAAAGCTGTCATCATCAAGACAGTATGGTACTGGCACAAAAACAGACACATAGATCAATGGAACAGAATAGAGCGCCCAAAAATGGACGCTGAACTCTATGGTCAACTAATCTTTGACAAAGCAGGAAAGAATGTCCAATGGAATAAAGACAGTCTCCTCAACAAATGGTGTTGGGAAAATTGGACAGCCACATGCAGAAGAATGAAACTGGACCATTTCCTTACACCACACACAAAAATAGACTCCAAATGGTTGAAAGGAGACAGGAGTCCATCAAAATCCTAAAGGAGCACACAGGTAGCAACCTCTTCAACCTCAGCCACAGCAACTTCTTCCTAGAAACATCACCACAGGCAAGGGAAGCAGGGCAGAAATGAACTATTGGGGTTTCATCAAGATAAAAAGCTTTCGCACAGCAAAAGAAAGTCCACAAAACCAAAAGACAACCGACAGAATGGGAGAAAATATTTGCAAATGACATATCAGATAAAGGGCTGGCATCCAAAATCTATAAAGAACTTATCAAACTCAACACCCAAAGAACAAATAATCCAATCAAGAAATGGGCAGAAGACATGAACAGACATTTTTCCAAAGAAGACATCCAAATGGCCAACAGACACACGAAAAAGTGCTTAACATCGCTCGGCATCAGGGAAATCCAAATCAAAACCTCAATGAGATACCACCTCACACCAGTCGGAATGGCTAGAATTAACAAGTCAGGAAATGACAGATGTTGGCGGGGATGTGGAGAAAGGGGAACCCTCCTGCACTGTTGGTGGGAATGCAAGCTGGTGCAACCACTCTGGAAAACAGTATGGAGGTTCCTCAAACAGTTGAAAATAGAGCTACCATACGATCCAGCAATAGCACTACTGGGTATTTACCCCAAAGATACAAATGTAGGGATCCGAAGGAGTATGTGCACCCCAATGTTTATAGCAGCAATGTCCACAATAGCCAAACTGTGGAAAGAGCCAAGATGTCCATCGACAGATGAGTGGATAAAGATGTGGTATATATACACAATGGAATATTATGCAGCCATCAAAAGGAATGAGATCTTGCCATTTGCAACGACATGGATGGAACTGGAGGGTGTTATGCTGAGTGAAATAAGTCAATCAGAGAAAGACATGTATCATATGACCTCATTGATATGAGGAATTTTTAACCTCGGGAAACAAACTGAGGGTTGCTGGAGTGGTGGGGGGTGGGAGGGATGGGGTGGCTGGGTGACAGACATTGGGGAGGGTATGTGCTATGGTGAGCACTGTGAATTGTACAAGACTGTTGAATCACAGATCAGTACTTCTGAAACAAATAATGCAATATATGTTAAGAAAAAAAAAAAGAGGAAGAAGATAGCAGGAGGGGAAGAATGAAGGGGAGTAAGTCGGAGGGGGAGACGAACCATGAGAGATGATGGACGCTGAAAAACAAACTGAGGGTTCTAGAGGGGAGGGGGTTGGGGGGATGGGTTAGCCTGGTGATGGGTATTAAAGAGGGCACGTTCTGTGTGGAGCACTGGGTGTTATGCACAAACAATGAATCATGGAACACTGCATCAAAAACTAATGATATATGGTGATTAACATAACAATAAAAATAAAAAAAAACGTACTTGCATGTAGGACAACTCAGTTAGAAAAATACAGCGAATGGATGGATCTACTGTATGATAAAAATGCTACAAACACCATTTAGTTGCTGTCAATAAGAAATTTACTTGTTTTAAAAAAATCCAAATGCTGGCATTGTCCAGAAAAATTTAACAGGTTTATTTATAATTGTTATAAAATTGAACTGCTGAAACATGTTCACTGAAACATTTTGACTTGCATTAATGCTTTATGTTCCCGCATTTATATTAAAAATTCACGCACAAATGACAATGGAAAACCTGCCAATACCTGATTTCTGTCCCCTATTTTTCCACTTGCAATCATATACTTAGGTACCTTCTGACCCCATGGAAAAAAAATATCTAACGTTCAGAGTTACCAATAACAGGAAGAAGAGAAATTTTTTTTTTTTAAAGAATGAAATGTTTTCCATCATAGTGGATTCTTAAGCACGTTCTCCACGTATGCGGCGTGCTAGCTGGATGTCTTTTGGCATAATTGTGACACGTTTGTCATGGATAGCACACAGGTTGGTGCCTTCAAAGAGGCCAACCAGATAGGCCTCGCTTGCCTCCTGCAAAACACCAATAGCCACGCTCTGGAAGCGCAGATCTGTTTTGAAGTCCTGAGCAATTTCTCGCAATAGACGCTGGAAAGGAAGTTTGCAGATCAGAAGTTCGGTGGACTTTTGATAACGTCTAATTTCACGGAGGGCCACGGTACCAGGCTTGTAACGATGAGGTTTCTTCACCCCTCCAGTAGAGGGCATACTCTTACAAGCGGCTTTTGTAGCCAGTTGCTTCCCCGGGGCTTTACCACCGGTCGATTTGCAGGCAGTTCGCTTTGTACGAGCCATGGTACAGAAACTCCCTTACTTACCCCTCTTCTCCTTGGGCTGGAGCTCGGCGAGCTAGAGGCGGCGCTGGCGTTGGCGAGCGACGGCGGCTGCTAACACAATTGAAAGCCCAAGGCAGAGTTCTTAAGAGGTGACACTAAAAGCAGGATCCATAAAAGGAAAAATCCATAAATTGGATTTCATTAAGAACTATTGCTTCATGAAAAACCTTGTTAAGAGGATGAAAAAAAACAAACTAGAGTGAGGAAAAGTATTTGCAAACTACATATTTTTTAAAGTAGATGAAACAGGTCTCTACTGGAAGATCCAGGACTTTCATAGCTGGTGAGAAGTCAGGCCTGGCTTCAGAGCTTCCAAGACAGGCTAATGTCAGGGGCTAATGCAGCTGGTGACTTGAAGCTGAAGCCAGTGCTCATTCACCATTCTGAAAATTCTAGGGCCCTTAAGAATTATGCTAAATGTACTCTGCCTGTGGTCTGTAAGTGGAACAGCAAAGCCTGCAGGACAGCACATTTGTTTATGACATGGTTTACTGAATAGTAAGCCCACTGTTGAGACATACTGCTCAGAAAAGATTCCTTTCCAAATATGACTGCTCACTGACAATGCACCTGGTCACCCAAGAGCTTTGATGGAGATGTCCATTGCAATTCATACTGTTTTCATGCCTGCTAATACAACATCCATTCTGCAGCCCATGGAGCAAGGAGTAATTTCTTTTTTTTTTTTTTAAAGATTTTATTTATTTACCTGACAGAGAAAGACACGGCGAGAGAACACAAGCAGGGGGAGTGGGAGAGAGAGAAGCCGGCTTCCCGCGGAGCGGGCTCGATCCCAGGACCCTGGGATCATGACCTGAGCCGAAGGCAGAGGCTTAACGACTGAGCCACCCAGGTGCCCCGCAAGGAGTAATTTCTTAAGACTTTTGAATCTTATTAAGAAATACCTTTTAAGTCTACAGCTGTCATTGATAGCGAATTTTCTGATAGATCTGGACAAAACAAATTGAATACTTTCTGGAAAAGATTCACTATTCTTCCCCCTTTTTAAAAGATTTTATTTATTTGACAAAGAGAAAAGTGAGAGAGCACAAGCAGGGGGAGGGGGAGGCAGAGGGAGGAAGAGGGAGCAGACTCCCCACTGAGCAGGGAGCCCGATGTGGGACTCGATCCCAGAACCCTGGGATCATGACCTGAGCTGAAGGTGGACGCTTAACGACTGAGCCACCCAGGGGCCCGGAATTCGCTATTCTTGATGCCATTAAGAACATGTTATTCAGGGTTAAGAGGTCAAAATATCAATATTAACAGAAGTTTGGAAGAAGTTGATTCCAGCCCTCATTGGAGGATTGAGGAATTCAAGACTTCAGGAGAGAAAGTGACTGTAGATGTGGTTGAAACAGTAAGAGAGCTAGAATCAGATGTGGAGACTTAAGATGTGCCTGAATTGCTGCAACTTCAGGATCATGAGAGTTTCTTCTAACGGGAAGAGCAAAGAAAGTGGCTTCTTGAGATGGAACCTACTCCTACTGAAGATGCTGTGAAGACTGTTGAAATGACCAAGGATTTAGAATATCACATTAACTTCGTTGATAAAGCAGCGGCAGGTTGGAGAGGAGGAGACTCCAATTCTGAAAGAAGTTCTACTGTGGGTAAAATGCTATCAAACAGCATAGATGCACACTACACAGAAATTGTTCTTCAAAGGAGGGGCGCCTGGGTGGCTCAGTCATTGAGCGTCTGCCTTTGGCTCAGGTCATGATCCCTGGGTCCTGGGATCGAGCCCCGCATCGGGCTCCCTGCTCCGCGGGAAGCCTGCTTCTCCCTCTCCCACTCCCCCTGCTTGTGTTCCCTCTCTCGCTGTGTCTCTCTCTGTCAAATGGATAAATAATATCTTAAAAAAAAAATAAATTGTTCTTGAAAGGAATCGAGGAAGCAAACTTCACCGTTGTCTCAGGAACCTGCCCAGCCTCCGCACCTTAAGCAACCACCTCCCTAATCAGTCAGCAGCCATCAACATCAGAGGCCAGACCATCTGCCAGTAAAAAGATTACCACTGGCTGAAAACTCAAAGGGTAGTTAATATTTTTAGCAATAAAATATTTAATTAGGGCATCTACATTTATAGACATAATGCTTTTGTACATTTAATAAACTATAGTATAGTGTAAACCTAACTTTTATATGCAATGGGAAACCAAAACATTTATTTGACTCACTTTGTTGTGATACTGGCTTTATTGCAGTAGTCTGGAACCAAACTCACAATGACTCCAAGGTATGCCTATAAATAGAAGATAGAAAATAGAATAACAAAGAAAATTAAGTGGAAATAATTTTTAAAAGATTCTAGAAAAAAATATAAAGACAAGCAAAGGCAATCCAAAATACACATCATTGGACTGCCCAGAGAAAACAAAAGCAATGGAATGGAACCATTCTGAAAAAGGCACTCAAAGATACTAAATGAAACCGAAAGAATACACCATGTTCAAGAGGAAATGATCCAGAATGGTCCAAACAGAGGGCTATTTGAGGAGTTATCTTCAAAGATAAAAGACCCTTTTGAACAGTGAGGCAAAAAGAGACACTTAAGGCTTTGGGGGTGAGGGCGGGGAGGCGGGGTGGGGGGCAGCAAGCTGGCCTTGGCTCTCATTTACACTCAGCATTTACAACAGAACAATGCTCTCAATATCCATGAGCAAGAGTGAGATGAGAAGTCTTTGAAGAAAAAAAGTTTTAGATATGAAAGAACTCGGCATTCTGAGTCCTTTCTGAAGAAAGCTCTAGAGAACAAACAAATCAAGTCAGGAGTAACTGGATTAACTACAGAAAAGAGTTAACAATGAGCATTACATATACATAACTGGAGGAAAAAGGACTTTAAAAAAGTGAGCAGATAGGAGTAACAGAACAAGCAGTGGGAATCTAATGATGTAGAAATGACATAAAGTTGAGGGGAAGAAGGGACAAGATAGGAGAATAGTTGGTTCCTATGCAAACTCGAGTTTAGTGCGACAAAGCTGAACACCAAGAGATAACTGACTCAAACGCAAATTAAGAGGTGGATAAGACTGAAGGATGAGGGAAGGGAAAAATGTAATAATCACTGTTCACATAGAAAAATAGGTACTGGGCGCCTGGGTGGCTCAGATGGTTAGGCGTCTGCGTCTGCCTTCGGCTCAGGTCATGATCCCAGAGTCCTGGGATCGAGTCCCACATCGGGCTCCCTGCTCCTTGGGAGACTGCTTCTCCCTCTGCCTCTCTCTCTCTCTCTCTCTCTCTCTGTCTCTCGTGAATAAATAAATAAAATCTTAAAAAAAAAAAGAAAAATAGGTACTAATGAAAGTAAAAGGTATTGGGGTGCCTGGGTGGCTTAGTCGTAAGCGTCTGCCTTTGGCTCAGGTCATGATCCCAGGGTCCTAGGATCGAGGCCCTCATCAGGCTCCTTGCTCCGCAGGAAGCCTGCTTCTCCCTCTCCCACTCCCCCTGCTTGTGTTCCCTCTCTCACTGTGTCTCTCTTATAATAAATAAATCTTTATTTATCAAATAAATAAAATCTGTCAAATAAATAAAATCTTTAAAAAAAAAGAAAAAAATAAGACTATTAAGGAGGTTTAAGTTTTATGGGTAACCACTAGAGAGAAAATTTGAATTCTCCTAAATTCCTGAAGAACTACACACATACACAAATATAGCTGGCATGATAAAATGAGATAAAAATCATCCACTGAATTATTTTTAGATTGCATTAGACAAAAAACCTAAATCTTTGCTGCATCAAAGAGTCACACAAGAGGATACAGAAGGCTGAATAGAAATAGGCAAATTATACAATTCCTTTATAAATCTTGATTGTCATTATAAGAGAACATTCATATTCAAAATACAAAATATTTGAGGATGAAGGATTATAACATCTTTAGTTTACTTCCAAGTATCTCAGTAAAAAGTGTTAAGCATGTGGGAATGCAAGCTGGTGCAGCCACTCTAGAATAAACAGTATGGAGGTTCCTCAAAAAGTTGAAAATAGATCTACCCTATGACCCAGCAATTGCACTGTGTATTTAGCCCAAAGATACAAATGTAGTGATCTGAAGGGGCAGTTGCACTCCAACGCTTATAGCGTTGCAATATCCACAAGAGCCAAACTACGGAAAGAGCCTAGATGTCCATCAACAGATGAATGGATAAAGATGTGGTGTACACACACACACACACACACACACACACACACACACACACACACACACGCAGGAATATTATGCAGCCCTCAAAAGGAATGAGATCTTGCCATTTGCAACCACGTGGATGGAACTAGAGGGTGTTATGCTAAGCAAAATAAGTCAATCAGAGAAAGACAATTATATGATCTCACTGATGTGTGGAATTTGAGAAACAAGGCAGAGGATCATAGGGAAATGGAGGGAAAAACGAAAACAAAACCAGAGAGGAAGACAAACTATAAGAGACTCAGGAAGGAAACTGAAGGTTGCCGGAGTGGAGGGGGGGGGGAGGGAGGGGGCGGCTGGGTGATGGACGTTGGGGAGGGTACGTGCTATGGTGAGCGCTGTGAATTGTGTAAGACTGATGAATCACAGATCTGTACCCCTGAGACAAATAGTACATATATATGTTAAAAAGGAAAAAAAGATAATTGACTAAGCAAAAAAAAGTGTTAAGCATGGCTAACATCTGAGATGTATACATACTTATTGGTCTATTCATGGGAATTTTGTTCAAAATTTCTTAGAGTTAAAAATAAAAAATATATGCTTTAAGGGGCACCTGGGTGGCTCAGTTGTTAAGCATCGCTTTCAGCTCAGGTCATGATCCCAGGGTCCTGGGATCGAGCCCCGCATTGGGCTCCCTGCTCAGCGGGAAGCCTGCTTCTCCCTCTCCCACTCCCCCTGCTTGTGTTCCCTCCCTTGCTGTGTTTCTGTCAAATAAAATCTTTAAAAAAAAAAAAAAATGTACAGACACCTCCCCGGCTCAGATCGAGTGACTCGATCTCAGGGTTCTGAGTCTGAGCTTCATGTTGGATGTTGATTAAAAAAATTTTTTTTTTTAGGGGCGCCTGGGTGGCTCAGTTAAGCATCTGCCTTTGGCTTTAGGTCATGATCCCAGGGTCCTGGGACGGAGTCCCACGTTAAGCTCCTTGCTCCGCGGGGAACCTGATTCTCCCTCTGCCTCTCACTGCCACTCTGCCTACTTGTGCTGTGAACTAAAATCTTTTTAAAAAAGTTGTTTTTTAGATTCTGTATTTTTGACAGAGAAAGCACAAGCAGAGGGAGCAGCAGAGGGAGAGGGAGAAGCCAACTCCCTGCAGAGCAGGGGGCCCAATACAGGGCAGGGCTCCATCCCAGGCCTTCAGGACCATGAACTGAGCCTGCGGCAGATGCTTCACTGAGCCACTCAGGCGCCCCTAAAAATAAAATCTTGAAAAATAAAAATGTAAAATAAAGGCAACAAAAAACTGACAGCTCTCCTATAATGCAATCAGGGAGGAAATCCAACGTCAGTCCTTCAGAACACCTGAGAAAGGAACTCAAGTGGGAAGATGGAAGAGCTATAGGGTATATGTGCTTCGGTGCAGAAAGTGACTTCCCTCTCACATCACCCACTTGAATAGGTTTTCCATGAAAAATACTAATACAGGCCTCCTAGTTTTGTTGCAAGCTTAACAAAACTTCAAGCCTGCCTGCACTTATCCATGTTGGTAGACTAGGACAGCTAGACTAGTTCTAAGTAGAATAACCTCTGAAGACCTACTTTGGTAGTGAGCAGAGGCTATTATTTAATATCCCTCCCTAACATCACTGTTGCGCTTGCCATTTGTTGCAGCCAGTCCTCCCAAGTTCATGCTGATTCTGCCTCCACCCCATTCTGAAGACCAACAGATCGTTCCATACCTGTGTACTCATCAGCATGGGATTTAGTTCTTCACCCAGGTCTCCAGTTGCTTCTTTCCATACCGTTCTTGTAAGTGAACAAAACACTTTGAACACATGCTCTACCTCTATCTTCCTCCCAGTTTTCGAGAGCTCTTCCAGAAGGTGGTATGTACAAGTATTTGTCTTTTTTAAAAAAAGATTTGAGAGAGAGATCACCAGTAGGGGGTAAGGTAGAGGGAGAAGCAGGCTCCCCACTGAGCAGGGAGCCCGATGCGGGACTCAGTCCCAGGACCCTGGGATCATGATCCAAGCCAAAGGCAGACGCTTAACCGACTGAGCCACCCAGGCACCCCGGTATCTGTGTCCTTGCTTTCTAACCTTACCCAGATGTATCAAGTGCCTTTCCAGTAGGACAATATCACACATTAAAATGCCAGAAGTTTACATTCTAGCAATGTCATGAGGATAAGAACTCTTGTTCACTGAATACACAAGTAAAAACAAGTTAAGAAAAGAACAAGACTCTTTAAGAGGTATTCAAATAAGTCAATTTTAATAAGATCCTCTACACGCACATTTGCTACTGAAAATTGAAATAGCACAAAAAAATTTTATTACCATTTTTGAAAACCACAAAATCTAGCATACACATCTGCCCTAATCATGCTCTAAACCAAACCACCCAAAGTTTTCTGTGTACTCCTTCTGCACAAGTTACTTGGCTTCCAATTTTTGAGTTTAGGTCTTGTCTTAATGACTTCAGGCCTCTCAAACGCACAGGCAACACTCAAAACCTATTAGTGCTTTCTTAGGTCAAATCAAAAGGTGGACATATACTGAAGTCATTCAAATGCAAACTACAGGATTCCTCACAAATTATTGGTATGAAGGTAGAAAAGATACAAAAAACTTTATAATATCATAGATTACCAAAATATTATAGTTTGCCCTAACATAGAGCAGCTTTCCCAAGCTGCTGCAAAATGATCCTAAAATCACTAGTTAAGAAGAAACCATACAAGAATAAAGTTTATGTTTACATTGGCTCTATGTCACAATTATTCTCCATGCTGGTTTCCTCAGAAAGATCTTTATGATAAAGGCAATAATGACAGCGACATCTAAATCTTTCTACTCTTGATTCACCCTGAAAAAAAGTGAAATGGATTAATTGCATTAATAATTTAAATAAAATGGATTCATTGCACCATGATGAGATGTAACCAAGCCTCCACCGTCAAATCTAGGCTTGGTTATTATAACCTTTTAAGTTGTGCTCCATGCCAACTCAGGGCTTGAATTCACCACTGAGGTCAAGCTGAGATCAAGTCGGATGCTTCACCAACTGAGCCACCCAGGCGCCCCTAGAATAGCCTTTGGAATACATCTTGGAGGGCAAAGAGGAGGCAGGATTGAAATGTATGGGTACCAAAGAATATCAGATTGTGGGTCATTTTGTGATGGTAACATCTGATTGTCAACCAGTAAAATATATCCTAGTGTCGTTCTCTGAATGCCTTAAATGTAACTTCTTCTGGACCCAGTACTCAAGGTTGTTTGCCCTTACTAGAGTATCGTCATGACCATGTTTCTGACAGCACTTGAAAAAGTACAAATATACCGCCAAGAGTTAACCCTAATGTAAACAATAGACTTGAGGTGAGAGCGTGTCATTGTAGGTCCAACTGTATGAATTTATCACTGGCATGGAATGTTCATAGTGGAGGACACTGTGTATTCAGGAGGTATATGGGAACGCTCAACTTTCCACTCAATTTTGCCATTAATCTAAAACTGCTCTAAAAAAATAAAACTAAATAAAAATTACAAACATGAACTGATTTCTCCAGAGTTCCCGGAGATTCAAAATCAAATTCCCCTTTCCTCCTCTCAAAAACAAAAACCAAAAAATAGAAACCAGACAGCCACCCACATGTATAGTTTGAGAAAATCTTCTTTTACCTCCTCAGCTTCCTTCTGCTGTAGATCTTTTTGAAGCTTTATGGGAAGAAAAAAATATATTTATTGAAAACTATCAAAAAGGTTGGATTACTAACATTATTATTACATTATATCTACCGTAAAAAGTTGGAGAATCTTAAAAACACAAGTGTTACTCACACCCTGCGCTCATCAGTATGATTGACTGACTGCTGCCTATCATTCCTAGTGGCTGTTGAGCGCCCTGGTGGGGCAGCGCTGTCTGCCCAGATCCCATGAACCTACCTGGGGCCCCGGGCTCAGGTAGCGCTGGTACTGAATCATTCGAATCATCCTTGCCATCCTTTCTTTCCGAGCAGTTAACAAAGTCCTTACTCCAGTCCTCCTCCTGCTGCTGCTAAGGATGCGCTCAACCAGCCCCTGTGGTTTCTTCTCTCTGCCCTGCTGCTGGGATGGATATTCTGGTAGAGGGGAAGGGAGTTTGATACTAGAGTCGAGAGTCAATTTACCAAGATTCTTTGTTAATACTTCGGAGATAGTTTGAGAGGCACCTGTAAGAAAAGAGAAAAGTTAAGATCCATGGGCGCCTGGGTGGCTCAGATGGTTAAGCGTCCGCCTTCGGCTCAGGTCATGATCCCAGGGTCCTGGGATCGAGTCCCGCATCGGGCTCCTTGTTAAGCAGGGAGTCTGCTTCTCCCTCTCCCTCTGCCTTTCCCCCTGCTTCTTCTCTGTCTCTCCTGCAAATGAAAATAAAAATCTTTAAAAAAAAAAAAAGTTAAGATCCATTAGAGTGCATTGCATCATCCAGAAGTCACTTGTCTCATGCTCCACGTAGGTCTGCTCTTAAGCAGGTTGACAATGGACAACGGGAGTTACTTCAGCATGGAAGATCATGCATAGCGAGCACATTACCTACTCTGCTAACCTAACATGTTGCATGTGGTGAGACAGTACGTTTGAGAATATGCTTAAGAAACCACTATGATGGGACACCTGGGTGGCTCCATCGGTTCAGCGCCTGCCTTTGGCTCAGGTCATGATCCCAGGGTGTTGGGATTGAGCCCCATATCGGGCTCCCTGCTCAGCGGGGAGCCTGCTGCTCTCCCTGCTTGTGCTCTGTCAAATGAATAAAATCCTAAAAAGAACCCGTTATGATGGGGGGCACCTGGGTGGCTCAGTCAGTTTAGCAGCCAAATGGATCTCAGCATCCTGAGACCAAGCCCCCTGTCATGCTCTGCGCTCAGAGTGGAGTCTGTCCCTCTCCCTCTGCTCCTCCTCCCTCTTGTGCTCTCTCTCTAAAAATAAAGCCCTAAAAAAAAAGAAAGAAAGAAAGAAAAGAATCGTCCACTATGATGGGAAACAGTTCTTGAAAAAATTGTTCCCGCTTTTCCTGTTATTGGTAGTTCTGAAGGTTAGACATTTTTCCCTCCACAGGGTCAAAAGGTACCTAAATTATTAGTATTCCAACTGGAAAAACATGTGATTCCACCTGGAAAAACGTGCAGTTTTCCTATTTTCACTTGTGTTAATTTGTAATAGAAGGGGGGAAGAGACACACAACAAAGCATTAACGCAAATCAAAAATCAGTAAACAACTTTCAGCAGTTCAACTTGATAACACTTATAAATCTCTTAAACTTTCTTGGCGGGGGGAGTGGGGGTAGGGGGGTAAAGGCCCGTGAAATAGACAAGGAAACCCCAGATACAACCATCTCTCCTTACACAGAACTAAGAAGCTGAACTGTTACCCTCTTCACTTATACCCAACCTTTCCATGGTACAAAATCTCTCCACTCAAACTCCAAAATCAGCCACTCACTTGCCTCTTTGATCCAAACCCTTATGCATACCCCGTACACTCTCAAGACTCATATAAAGCAGTTTACATTCATTTTGCCCGTGTGTGAAAGCACTAAGTAAAAGAGTCAGGATCCATTTGACTTCCAGGGACTTGCGCACATGTAAAGATCCCTAGTTGGGAATCATCAGGTACTAAGGCAGGGAAAGCAGAGTTCGGATTATACAGACACCCTCTCTTTGTTAATTTTCCCTTTGTATACATCCACCCAGGTTCTTTCCTCAAAGATGGGGGGAGGTAGGTCTGGACTGGGGAGAGGCAGGGGGAGAAGATGCTGACGGAATAGAAAATATCGGCAAGCTTCCCACTCAGCTTTCTAGCTGCCCAGTGAGGACTGGCTCAAAGCCACCCACCACCATCCAGCCCCACCCATTAGTCCCAGCAATAAGGTTTCAAATCCATTGAGTGGTTCTCTGTGGCCAAGCCTGGGGTTGGGTTCTGCGATGGGAAGAAGCCAGGAGAGGACCTAATTGGCAATATTTCTGGAGCACTGTTCCTCAGAAAGCCCTCCAGAGTCTGTTCTACTAATTTACATTATAGAGCACATTCACTGGCTTTAAGTGTTCCCCTTTTTTCAATTTCCTCTGAAAAGCCATCTCCCTGCTTAACATTCCTAAAGGGTAAATTTAACTGGAAAACCAATCCAGAAAATGCTGGTGAGATTAAGAAAAACTTTAGGTTAAATGAAGAGTTTAGGTTTCTTGTATTTTGTTCCTTTTCACATTCCTGACATGTATTGCTGATAGGCAGACATTTTGAGCCACGACCTAGGAGAATCCCAATTGCTCTTCCCCAGAAACAGAACTGAAAACATTTTTAAGTGTTCCTGAACATAGGAAGTAAACCATGCAGCTCTCAACACCCCTTTCCCAATTTCCCCCCTGCCCTCCGTGTTTCTTCACTGGGGAGACCTACACAACCTTGGCCCTCCTGCCTGGAAGACGGAAGTCAATACAAGAAGGAGGGCAACCTCTTTGCTCTCGAACCCCCTGTCATCAGAAAGGGTACCATCTGGCTTACCCGAGCCTTCCTGGGAATTCTCTTCACTGGGCATCTGAGATGACCCCAGGGCCCAGGTTGGGTAAAGCTGCTTTGGCGAATCCATTGGAAGCCTGGTCACAGACCGAAGCTCCTCCTGGATCTTCGGGGTCCAGTGGGAGGTGATGCTCAAGACTCAACTTGCTACAAAATACCCTGGGAAGAACTTTATAGGCCAGAAGGAGCAAGAAAAACCCAAACTCCTTTGGAGTGGCGAGAAAGAACAAACCTCAAAGCTCCCATCAGGTTCCCTCTTAAAACTACAGATAAGCCAATCAGCCAGCCTATTTTAATGTAAATGCTAATGGTTAAAGGGATAAGGTGAGTGGGCGTAGCCCTATTAGTGGACTAATAGGGTGATGCTTCATCTGCTCCGCATTAAAACAATCATACTCTCCTACACGTAGGTTGGAAAATTTTAAAAGAGCCTCTGTGGTTGTATCTCCCTAAGGTTGCCTTGAAAATCAGTTTTTCCAAACTACTTGTGGAAATGGCTACTGGTTTGTGAACTGGGCTCTATAGTGTTCTAGTGCAGAGAGATGAAGGGTGGTCCCCCCACAACTGCTAATTAATTCCCAATTAAATTAACTGAGAAAGTTCCCTTAAAAGTTTTCCTTGCCTGACATCTTAAACCTGTGGATGCTAGTAAGGGAACAGAGAGGAGAAATAAAATGTCTGTTGGAAACACTTCAATAGCTTGATATTTTATGGACGTGTGCTTTGGATCTGTAATTTTAGTTTGTTTTCTAGACTATTAATTGAATTGCATTTTTTGTGAGCAGCTGAAATTAAATTTATAAATTCCCACCCCCACCCCAATACTTGTACTGAACTCTGGCAACGAGCACCAACATTAACTGCTGATTTCTGCAGGAGGTAGAGAAAAAGTCCCTCCCCCCTCTGGCAAAATGCATGTTTTTTTCCCATCTCCTATTTAATGTACAGCTTCCCTATACCGGCTTCAGCTGGAAATCATGAGAAAATACTCAAACGCAATCTCGCTTATTTTTACTAAAAAGCAAAAGTCGAAGTTCTGATTAAGAAATATTTTTGTAGGAGATGAAGAACAGCCATAAATACACATTAGGTTACAATACTTTATTCAAATGGTTCTCAAAATATATGGCCTCCAGACAGGCAGCATCAACAGCCCCTGGTAACTTGTAGGATATGATTAAAAAAGCACTGAGCTCCAACCCAGATCTGCTGAATCAAAGAGGCATCCAGCAGTTTAGCAGGCCTCCCAGGTGAATCAGAAGCACTGCTTTATGGCACGCTTAACTCTCCACTCCTGGTCTGTTCTCAGCGGTTCCCCCTTTGCCATGGATACCTGTCCCCTAGCCGTCTCTCAGAATTCTGCAGGAGACATGAGGGCAAATATCAGATGGCAGGGGTGTAAGATTAGGAGGTAAGACAGTGAAAAGGGCTGGCATAGACTCTCACTCAAAAAATCCAGGTTTAGAGAGAGCCATTCCTACAGGAAGGTGTGGAATATGGATGGTGGAGATGCAGTTTTCTTCAACATGACAGAAGCTGAGCCAACAGAAGGCATCTGCCTTCGGCTCAGGTCATGATCTCAGGGTCCTGGGATCGAGCCCCACATCGGACTCCTTCCTCAGTGGGGAGCCTGCTTCTCCCTCTCCCTCTTGCTTGTGTTCACTATCTCTCTCTCTCTCTCTCAAATAAATAAAATCTTAAAAAAAATAAACTAAAATAAAATAAAAAATCTTTAAAAGTTATAACAGCTTTCTAGTTAACATGTTTTTTTCTTTATCGTATGAAAGATGAGGTAAAAAACCAAACAGAATGAAGCAACTTGAAAACAAACAGGGTGCATGGGTGGCTCAGTTGGGTAAGTGACTGCCTTTGGCTCAGGTCATGATCCCAGGGTCCTGGGATCAAGTCCTGCATCGGGCTCTCCCTGCTCTGTGGGGAGCCTGCTTCTCCCGCTCCCTCTGCCTGCTACTCCCACCTGCTTGTGCTCTCTCTCTCTCTCTCTGTCAAATAAATAGATAAAATCTTTAAAAAAAAAGAAAACAAAACAACGCAGACTATAAAAGAATGCATCAAGAAAATGATACCTAATGTCTCAAGAGATAAGAAATCATTTGTAATATTTTTGAAACAAACAGGATGCCCCTTTTAAATAAGGAAAAGAGCAAAAAAAAAAAAAAGTTCCTGGATTTAGACATTTGATATTAGAAACAAACAAAAAAAATGGTTTGAAGACAAAAATCGAAGATATTCTCTTAAGTAAAGCAGAACCACAAACAGATATAAAAGAGAGAAAATATAAGAAGAGTGTTTAATATCAGGAATATAATGGCTCAGATTCCTCAACAACATTGAATGCCAGAGGATAGGGAAAAACACCTTCCAAATTCTGAAGGAAAATACTTCCCAACCTAGAATTCTATATTTAGTCAAACTATTGAGCAAGTGTGGAACATTCCCAGATACTCAGTTTCTCAAAAATGTCACCACCAGGATAGATTCCTTTGTCTTGTGGGGAATTAACTTGATACAAGAACACTACCAGGCAACTACTCCTAAGGTCATGAAACAGAAAGGCTCACAGACCATATTAAAAAGCTCATATCTCAGGCACCTAGGTAGCTCAGTTGGTTAAGCGACGGCCTTTGGCTCAGGTCATGATCCTGGAGTCCCAGGATCAAGTCCCACAGCAGGCTCCCTGCTCAGTGGAGGGTCTGCTTCTCCCTCTGACCCTCCCCACTCTCATGCTCTCTCTCTCTCTCATTCTCTTTCTCTCAAATAAATAAATAAAATCTTAAAAAAAAGAAAGAAAAAGGAACTTGCAGCATATATATGTCCAATAAAGAATACAATAATACTAATGAATAAAAATCCATGAGGGGGTGCCCAGCTGCCTCAATTGGAGAAGCCTGCAACTCTTGATCTCGGTCTCATGGATTCAAGCCCCATGTTGGGTGTAGAGATTACTTAAATAAATAAAACAAAAAAAAAATCCATTAGATGAATTTCAAAAAAAGCAAAGACTTCTCATTTGAGGAAATATGAGTAAAGTAACATATAAAACAGTTCACTTCTACTTGAGTTTTAAAACCCTAATTAAGATAGCTTTTAAACTTTTGCATGGCAATTTTAAAATAGAAAAACTAGGAAAGATGTATGGTGAGATTATAGTTGGCAGCTATAGCTGGTAGCTGTGAGCCAAATCTTTGAAATATTGTCTGCAAATAGATATTAAGAGCTTTAAAATAGATACATACAAAACATGAGATTTGAGATCAGGTAAACCGTTAAATTCGTGTTATCTCTAGTGCGTAACACATTACGAAACCATGGACATGAAACGCTTGAGTGAATCAAAACATCATACCAACATCTCTACTTAGACAGTTATTATTAAAAACCAAAATTTGACTGAGTAAAATTTAAAGATCTATGTTGGGTTTATTCAATGATCCACGCAATGGGACAGCATACCATTCAGTGGATAGAAACAGTCCCAATTGGTTTCCAAGTCATTGGCAGTGGGTATTGCGGCGGGCCCAGCCGGGGTTCTTGCGCCGAGATGCTTCAAAGTCTTATTAAAAATGTTTGGATCCCCATGAAGCCCTACTATACCCAGGTTTACCAGGAGATTTGGTTAGGATTGGGGTTGATGACTGTCATCATTTATAAAATCAGGAGTGCTGATAAAAGAAGTAAAGCTTTGAAAGCTTCCAGTCCTGAGCCTGCTCATGGCCATCATTGACCAGCTGTACTTGGAGCGCACGTCCCATGGAGCATCAGTCTGTAAATCTCAGCACGCTGTTAGATGGGAACGTGGAGCGCTGCCATACACTTGTAGACGTGTTGTGTCCCCGTGGCATGAATAAATGTACCTGAGGTGCACCACTGCCTCCCCCAAAAAAAAAGAAAAAAAAGAAAAGACAATTGGGATTGGCTTCAACTTTTTCTATGTGTTGGGGACGGTTGCCATTATTCTTCCCTTGGTCCTGTAACACTCAGGCCTAGCTTGCAGAGCAGGGAGATTTTTAGGCAATCTCTAAGAGATACAACTAGAAAAGATAGGCTCTTTAAATTATCCAAAAGAGGGGCGCCTGGGTGGCTCAGTTGGTTAAGCGACTGCCTTCGGCTCAGGTCATGATCCTGGAGTCCCGGGATGGAGTCCCACATTGGGCTCCCTGCTCAGTGGGGAGTCTACTTCTCCCTCTGACCTTCTTCCCTCTCGTGCTCTCTATCTCTCATTCTCTCTCTTTCAAATAAATAAATAAAATCTTTAAAATAAATAAATAAGGGTGCCTGGGTGGCTCAGTTGGTTAAGCAACTGCCTTCGGCTCAGGTCATGATCCTGGAATCCCGGGATCGAGGTCCGCATCGGGCTCCCTGCTCAGCAGGGAGTCTGCCTCTCCGTCTGACCTTCTTCCCTCTCATGCTCTCTCTCTACCATTCTCTCTCTCAATAAATAAATAAAAATCTTTAAAATAAATAAATAAATAAATTATCCAAAAGAATTGTAGAAGCTGTCATTTTTTTTTTTTTTTTTTTTTTTGGTGAGAGAATGGAATTGGAAGCATATCAGTTCTAATTTAATCTCAATACCCACCCACCTAATTATTTCAGTCAATGGTTCATTTATTTTTCATTGGACTGGCAGATAGGTTTACTTGATAGGCTAAAAGGAGGTAAGAATTGAATTTCTAGGACAGTCCCACCTACCGTTTTACTGGAAGTCTGCTCTAATTGAGCTGAAGTTCTTTTCAGATCAACTTGAAGCAAAATGTCCTCTTTCTGTTCCGGACTTCCGGGAGGAGGCCAGACCTAGATCTGTTCAGATCTAGGTGGAACTTCAAGCTGTGACTAGAGCTCCATGGACCCACCATAGAAGTTTACCTTGAACTGGAGTATTCACAGATGGGCAGGGAAGAAAATTAACAGGAAGACACAGAGAAGCCGATAAACCTCTTTTTGACAAGACAGAGATAAGCCAGATAACCCTCTTCTTCTTTTTAAGATTTTATTTATTTATTTGAGAGAGAGAGCACAAGCAGGGAAGAGGCAGAGGGAGAGGAAGAAGCAGGCTCCCTGATGAGCAGGAAGGCTGACATGGGACTCGATTCCAGGACCCGGAGATCATGACCTGAGCCAAAGGCAGACGCTTAACCAACTGAGACACCCAGGTGCCCCATGATAACCCCTGTCTTGACAATGGGAAATGTCATATTCTTTGTATTAATTTCCAGTCCTTGAAGGAGGAATATAAGTACAGCTCTTCAAGCCGGAAGTAGGAGTATAAGTCCTTCTTGTAGCAAAACAGGAGGGCAAAGGGAAAATTTGTTAAGGGTGAACAACATTGTTAAACTATGTTAACTATGCATCGCTAAGAACAAGACAACAGGCCCAAAATGGACTCACTTGTGCTAAGCCCCACCTCGCCAAACCAAAAATTAATTACAATTTTGGTTCTCCCTAGAAACAGAATCTCAAACCAGTCAACCAGGGATCACCTGATCAGCACTAGTTAGGTAATCTGATAGACTCTTGCTATCCCCTATGGGTAAATAACCTTGCCATAACCAATCTGCTTTTTGCCTAAGTATAATGTCCTGTTCCTGCCCCCTTTTGCCTTGAAAGTCTTTCATTTTATACAGCCCTTTGGAGCTCCTTTCTATCTGCTAGATAGGATGCTTCCCCGTTTGAACTGAGTTTTGCTCAAATAAACTCTTACACATTTTAATATGCCTAAATTCATCTTTTTTTACTAAATCAGTTCATATCATTTTATTCATATTTGAGCTCCACTGGAGTCAGTGATGAAGTGTCATCTTTCCTTCCAAGAATGAAGTCTTCAGGTAACATCTCAGGTGCTACCTGAGCTAACTGGTCATCACAAGAAGGTAGAGTCCATAATTCCTCGAATTCGGAGGTTTCTCTTTTCTGGAGGCATCAAATCAATCACCATGCTGCCAAAGTCCACACAGAGCCAATTATCAGGGTCTTTCCCTTCTCTTACTATGAGACTCACTTTTATATTTCGGGCATTTGTACGTTTTCACAATGTGAAAAGAAGTTCTCTACTTGAAAGGGTTTTCTACTACCAATCACGAAGTAATCTGTATATTTCATTTCTGTTGGACCCTTAATCTCACAAACATCTCTTGCATTTTCTAGTCTCAAAAGCAAAACCAGCATATCGATGTCAAATTTAGGGCCAGAATGATATGCAGTGCCTGACTCCGGGTGCCCCAAGCTGGCTGCCCCTCCGCTGGCTCAGTAGGGCCACTGCCGCAGTGCAGGGCACGCGCGAGTTCTGGAGTCAGGCAGGTGGGGCCCAACGCTTGTCCCACCTTCTGCGAACCCCGCAGAGGGCAGCCCCCCAGGCGGGTCCAGCACCCTCTGCTACCCTGCACCACAGCCGGGTCTGCATCCACTGCCCCACACTGCTTGCTTAAGCTTATTGTTTTGTTTTGTTTTTAATTAACATATAATGTATTATTTGTTTCAGGGGTACAGGTCTGTGATTCATCAGTCTTACACAATACACAGCGCTCACCATAGCACATACCCTCCCCAGGGTCCATCATCCAGCCACCCCATTCCCCCTCCCCGCCCAAGCTTATCTTTAACAGTACAGGATGCTCCAGTCCCCAGACTCATTTCTGGAAAGGGGGATGATAAACAATGAAATAGCTTCATCTACTGGAGGTCTTCATCTACATGGAGTCTTTAAGATTGGATGAATGGAATTTTTAAAATTCTAATCTGCCCCAAGGGGTTGAACTGATGAAGCTGGAATCTTGGCTGTCTTTTCTCTCTGATCTGTGGAGCCCACCTTTTCCCTCCAGGTGGCTTCTCTAGCTCAGAAGTGTTTTCCCTTCAACTGTGCCAGGTTGGTTTCAGGTCAGGCAACAGAGCCGCAGGCAAAATTAAAGTGTTGCCCTCAGGGCACAAACATTCTGGTGGATGGAGACAACAAACCGTAGATCCAAAATATAGGGTAGGGTAGGTAGTGAAACATATTCCAAAGAGAGGTAAAGCCTGGTAAAGGAGAGGAGAAAGCTGCTGTTTCCCAAACACACAGTTAATGAATTACTCGATGTACTGCTCTGGGCTCGCTTCTGGTGGGGTGGGTCTCCCCTTGCGGCCCTTGTCCTTGCTTTGGTCCCTCTGCCCCGTGGGCGGCACCCCCGTGCCCGCCAGTGTGTCTCCTCTGCCTTCCCTCAGGTTCTCCACTGCGCCTCGAGTCGAGAAGCCTGTTTCCACTGGCGTCTAGGGCCATCTGCCCGGGAGTCGGGCCTTGAGGCCTGACACACGGGGTGGGGACAAATGGTTGGGTGCCCAGCACCTGCGCCCACCTCGGGACCGAGGCCTCTGCAGCCCCATGCGCCTGCCGAGCGCCCAGGCGCCCTGCGCTTTGCCTCTCTCCCCGCACCGACTGCGGTTGCCTTCCTTTCCGCGAATCCACCTTAGTTCTTGAAATTCCACAAGGAAGAATCAGTACTCCCCAGGGTCGAATCCTGGGTCTATGATCAATTATTGAACAGCTTAGTGGAAAACATTTAACGACTTTCCAATATGAGAGTCGGCTAAAGAGCAGCCTCCCAGACGGGGTTCTGATGGAAAGAGCTCAGTATGCGCTGGGGCCGTAAATTTCCCAACATTTGTGGTTTGAATGAAGATATGGGACTCATGAAAGTACTGGTTAACTAGTAAGTTAGGCCTATCAGAAGAGAGGAGCAAATACTGCCGGCATTCCCAAGTTTGCTTAAAGACGAGATTTCAGGAAAGACAAGGAGGTAATGCTGGTGAGGCACAACTCAAGTGGAACATTGTATTTCAGCTTTGGAAACCCAGTCCGGAGATCAAAGGAATGCCTTGTGTCTTTGTTCCTGTTGTTTCATTGACTTTCTGCCTTGACTTCTCTTTTTGAGAAAAGGAACCTAGACACAAAGGCTTGTTGTCTTTCCTTTGTTTACCCGTGAAGAACCTCTAGTGCAGTCCATTGTTCCTTGTTAAAGAGGATATCTGACTTGGGGGGCAGGCGGCAAGGGACTTCCAGAGGAGGCACTTCACCCTACAGATTTTATTTACTTTGTCTCCTTTCACCAGCCGCATGCTCAGAAATGCTGGCAGAGGGCCTCAGCCCTGGTACCAAGCCCCCATCCCCTGTTCCAGAAGGACAACAGGGCAGGAAGATTGGACACCAATGCTTTTCAACTTCCCATAGTACAGTTTCCATGATTCCTTGTCTTTTCCCTCCAGCTCTGTCTTTCTCGTGTCATTATCCTCATTTCATAAGCCAGCTGTATAGTTTGAATGCTTTTCTGATTTCAATTCGTTTTTATTCCATTTTATTTATTTGCCCCAAGAAGAAACATCAGGACCCATGGGATGCAAGTGTTGTAGAATTCTAATGTCAATGAGCACTGAGCATGCCTCATGCCTGGATCTTGGTTTCTTTTTTTATTTTTATTTTTAAAGATTTTATTGATTTATTTGACAGAGAGAGACAGCAAGAGAGGGAACACAAGCAGGGGGAGTGGGAGAGGGAGAAGCAGGCTTCCTGCCGAGCAGGGAACCCGATGCGGGACTTGATCCCAGGACCCTGGGACCATGACCTGAGCCGAAGGCAGACGCTTAACTGACTGAGCCACCCAGGTGCCCCTGGATCTTGGTTTCTAATACCATTTTCTATAGAAAAGGAACCAAGGCTCCTCAGGGAAATGGTTATTTCTAGGATTGCGGCAGGAAATATATAAAATAAATCCTGAGCACTTTGTAGTGCCAGAAAGTAAGGAAGTGTTAAAAAAAAAAAAAAGAGGGGCATCTGGGTAGCTCAGTCAGTTAAGCATCCCACTGTTGGTTTTGACTAGGGTCATAATTTCAGGGT